TTTCCCTATGACAATGGTCTTGTGTATTTATGTTTCATTTGCTATTAAAATGAATTAAATATTTTCGAAAGGAGAAGAGATAAAAGAAAAGGCAGGGACAGTACCTAGACTTATACAAGTTATGGGGAGCTTTCCATCCGGTACCCTGAATATGGGTTATTTTAAGGTTATTAAGAAGCCTTGACAGTTACATCCCTGGTGACCAAGGCTAATTCTTCTGTCCTGAACCTGGTGCCCTAGGTCTGCCTTGAACATGGGGTCAAGAGATCCTGCAGGCCTCTACGTACATTTGGGTTAGTCACTTTAGACAGTCTGAATCTCTCCTCATGACAACTGAGCTAGCTAAAAGAATCCACTAATTCTTTCTTATCCACTTATATAGATCCATTGAATTATAGGCAAGTTTAATAGAAGGAAAAAAGAGAAATAGAGGAAATGAGCCAATTTATTCACTGCCAGGCAGAATTAACACCAACACCCTGGCCCATGTTCTTCCTTCTTAGTCACAGCATAGGACAATCTTCCTCAGGTCCTAACGGACTCCCCTAGCCATGGATGTGGCTGGATGTAGAGGCCATGGCTGCGCTTCAACCACAGCTGGACCTTTCTAGATGCCTGCCAAGGCTCATTTCCAGGGAAAATCCAAGAGGCCAGTTCTGGTTCCATAGCATCATGCAAAAGGAACAACATGCCAGCCTCAGCCGACCTTCCTGGAGACCTGGACTTTATTCTTTTTAGTTCCCTCCTTTTTTCCTCTTCCACACTTTGCTCCACCCAATGCACATTTACACTACTGTCTGAGTATTGTCTACTCTTTACCAAACCCTCTCTCAAGAGTCCATTACATCAAAGCTCAGGCTTTAGTGCTCATTGGCTTATTTAAACCTAAGACCCCTTTTTTTTACTCCATTGTGTAAATGTACCATAGTTTTTTGATCCATTCATTTACTGATGGGCACCTAGGTTGCTTCCAACTCTTGGCTATTGTACATTGTGCTGCTATGAACGTTGGGGTGCATAGGTTCTTTTGGATTGGTGTTTCAGGGCTCTTAGGATATAATCCTAGCAGTGGAATTGCTGAGTCAAAAGGCAGATCCATTTTTAATTTTCTGAGAAAATTCCATACTATTTTTCGTAGTGGTTGCACCAGTCCGCAATCCCACCAACAGCATTTACACAATGGAATTCTATGCAGCAGAAAGAAGGAGCTCCTACCCTTTGCAACAGCATGGATGGAACTGGAGAGCATTATGCTAAGCGAATAAGCCAGGTGGTAAAAGACAAATACCATATGATCTCACCTTTAACAAGAACTTACACAATAAAACAAACAAACAAGCAAAATATAACCAAAGACTCTGAAACAGAGAACAGGCTGACAGGGACCAGAGGGGAGAGGCGAAGAAATTTCAGGGGGAAAGGGGAAGGGTTTGCAGGAGCAAGTATAAAGGACACATGGATAAAAACAAGAGGTGGGGTGGAAATAAGAGGGAGGTGAGGATGGCTGGGGGGGGGGGGGCTGGGATGGGAGTAAAAGACAGAAAACTGTACTTGAACAACAATTACATAAATTTTTTAAAAAGAAAATTAAAAAAATAAATAAAGTATGTAAACCAAATAAACTTTCATTAAAACATATAATGAATGAATGAATGAATGAATGAATGAATGAATAAACTTAAGACCCTTAAGTTCAAATGATCAGGTTGTCATGTGGCCAACAAAAGAAAGTGTTTCAGGGAGAAGGGAGTGTTCCAATGGACAGAGAATTATCCAGTAGCCTTGAGGAGGTAAAGGTTGCAACTGATACCTAGTAAAATGTTCTGTAAATACTTCATTTTGTGAATGTTAAATCAATAAATGTCCTAATGCTAGCCTAAGGCACCTCCTTTCCTATTGCAACAAAGCATGTGGCAACCCTTTTTGAATTGCCTTCATTTATTAAACAAATATTTATTGAGCATCTACTATGTACCAGACACAGTCACTGGGAATAACAAGATGGGCAAAGTCTCTGCATTCATGGACCTTAGGTCTGGTGGGGAAAAGTGGGATAAAATAATAAATACACAAGTAAATAATATAATAATAGCAAGTAATAAAACTTAATAATTTTAATGCTTAGCAAATAAGTAAACATTTGATTTAAATTTTAATTAATTTCTTAATTAATAATCCACATCTAATATTTTAATAATAAAACAGTAGTGAATAATTAACTGTCAAATATAAGTGCTATAAAGAAAATAAGACTGGGTGTCAGGCCTGAGAAGGAGTTGCAAGGGTTAGGTGGTGTCTACCTTAAGAAGCCTGCTTGGAGTGCCTCTTAGTGATCCGAATGTAGAAGAGCCAGCCACTTATGAATCTGGCTTAGCGCCCATCCAATACAAAGGTGCTGAGCCTGGCACACATTAACCAAGTCTGAGTCCAGTGTGGCTGAGCCCAGAGGAGGAGGAGAAGGCCAGTAGTAGGAGAGAAGGTCTCAGAGTTGGGGAAGACTACCTCACACTGGCCTCTCAGGCCATGGTGACAACGGTGGGTTTCCTTCCAAGAGTAATTGGGAAGCCTCTGGACACTTTTAAGCAAGGTCTGGTTTAATTTTCAAATCAATGTCAGCTTCTCTGTCAAAGAGACTCTAGGACAAGAATGGGAGCAGGGAAGCCAGGTAGCTGTGTACCACACACGGGAAACACTGGTGGCGTGAACCAGAGAGGTACCCGTGGGCAAGGTGAGAAGAGGCAGACTACATCGGGGCAAAACCTTAAAACACACTGGCCTTCTTCAGGGACTGGGACTTTCCAACACTTGCACTCCTGTTTAATTTGGCGCCTAAGAGAAGCCTTTGCACTTCCCCACACCTGACCAATCAGACAGGAACACTGCGTGCTGAGATAGCTGGTTTCCTTGCTTCCCATTTGTAGAAATAAAAACTCTCATTTTGCTGAAAGGGAAAGATAATCATAAAAAAAATGGGGGGGGTGCTCTTTACTTCCCTTGTAAACTCCTACCTAGAGCTGTTGGTATCTACTATAAAGATTAAATTAAATGCAAAAGTAATCAGAATGTGACCTGATGGGAAAGAACAGTCACACAACACTGGTTTCATCCCACCCAGTTGAAATCTCTGGGCAATTCTGGGTCCTGGCGCACCTCACTGAGTGGCCCCCATCCCATCAGCAAAGCACGGAAAACCTGACTTCATTCTGCAGGCAGGGAAACACAATAATTTCTAGATGCAGTGGGACCGCAGCTCCTGGGGTTGGCGCTAAAGCAAACTCTCCTGAGACGGCAATGGAATTATCAGTTCCCCAAGCCCTAAACTCATCAAAGCAATCATTGAGACTGAGTCCCTCCCCTCCCACCCTGGAGATAAGATTTCAGCCCATCCCTAAAGGGCACAGAGGTTACTCATTTCTGAGCAAAGCAGACCAAGAGAGGCCTTAGCTATGGCATAGGAAGCCAAAGTTCCTGCATGTGTCCAGGGTTACTGAGTGACAGGATGCACGTGCAACAACATCTCCAAGGGCGCAACCAGCTCTCTCAAAGCCATCTCTCTCTCTCTCTCTCTGTCTCTCAAAAGGAAGATTCAAAGAACAGAGGTAGCTATCATTTTAGTCACACAAAGACTCCTACAGTGTCACGTCACTGGCGAATCATTGCATCAGCAGCCCAAACTGGGATGGAAAGCATCATCATGGCTACCTGGGCTCCCGCAGCTCTGGTTTCAAGGCTGCCCTCCCAAAGCTTGGCTCTGCAGCACAGAGCACCTCAGGTTATGATTGCACAAGTTAATCCATGTAAAAGTGCTGAAGCAGCACCTGGCACAAATGAAAGCTCAATAAAGATTAACTATCATTGTTAATGATGTTTTTCTACAAGAATTACTGTATTATGTGTTTGCATTTATGTTAGTTTCCCCTTACACATTAGGACCTCCAAAGCATCTTATTCATCTCAAGCATGTCTGAGCCTGGAACTGTGCTGGGCTCAATAAAAGGTTATGGCTTGAACTGAAATATTTACTCAGGGGTGATAGAAATGAAAAGAGGGTAGTTTTTTCAAAATAAAAAGCAGATGAAATCTGAATTTCCTTTACCTCTTCTTTATGTTATTTTCTGTTTCTCCATAACAGCCCCTCAATTTTGCAGCTCGCAGTGACATTTCCTGTAACGGGAATGGTTCCCGTTGGGCCTCAGTGGAACCTGTGACACTAATCACCAAGCACAGTTCAAGTTCAGCCAGTTTTGATATTGCCAGGGCTCCCCAGAAGGAATTGGATATCACAGAGGGTCCACAGAAGGGCACAAGCTCAAGCAATATGAACGGATTTATTTGAGAACTCAACACTATTGCCTCCAAGTGCCCCCTGACATACAGGGAACCAATGACCATAACAGTGAACACAATGACACCACTACTTATGGAGCACCTAGTATGTGTACTATGCTAAATACTTTCACATATGACATTTAATCCACCCAGAGAAACAAAGTATGTGTTCTGTCATTCTCAAACTAAGTCACAGAACAGTCGCAATGAGCCACTGGCTTAAGGTCACCCCACCAGTAGTAAAATGTTGAGATTCAAACTCAAGCTCTCCAAAGCTCACTCATGTAACCACTCAAGCCTACAGGGGCCTCGGGCCACACAACCCAGACCTGAAGCACAAATGCCACAGCACAGGTGATCTGCAGGGCAAAGTGCAATGCACCTGCCGTGCCCCTGTCTTTGTATGCTGTCTCCACAGCACGGCGTGGTAGCCCAGCATGGCTCATCTGCTTTTTACCTGTCCCCAGAGACTGCCACACCTAAAACGTGACCACCTCTGGTTTGTAACTTATGCCTGAAGGACCTACTGCTGTTTTCTTTTCTGGAGGAACAAAGGTCTCTGAGGCACAAGTGTGTATTGCCACGAGTCCCTGAGGCAAAGAGTGTATTGATTAGTCTCATCAATATTCAGTCCATTTAGACTTGGACTTTTAGTCCACTCCTTACTTGCCTTGCTCCTCCTCCTCTAAACTATAACCAGTCTTGGGTAGCTGGAAAGAGACAGGCAGAAGCCAGCCACCTGCATGTGCTCCACTCACTACAGCACCTGGATTAAGAGGAGGACTCCGACACCACACAATGACAGAGGTACAGTGGTATTGTATTCATTTTGCAAGTCAGTGAGCATATGGAGGACTTGGGGGATGTCAGGGGTAGCTAGCCACAGATCAAAGCTACTTCTCTTGCCAAGTGATAGTTCATATTTGTGCTAAAAAGTCATATTTCCTATTCAGTAACTAGGATTTTAAGGGTATTTGCTATGTTTTCTGACTAGTCTGCGTAACTTCTTCTCAAATGATTCTGTATAACCATATTACTAAGGAATGTGCTTTTAAAAAGGCAGATTAACCGGAATCTAACTAATCATGAAAACTGGCATGAAATCTTCAGAAATGTCAATGTATGAAAAAACAGAGCTAGAAGGACTGTTTTGGAGTAAAGGAAACTAAGAACTGACAAAAGTGCAACAAGTGCTCATAGGTCACAGAAAGAAGAAGAAAACAGCTTTAAAGAGACAATATGGGCATAGCTGGGAAATTTTAAAAATGGGCTGCATATTAGATAACATTTGTATACTAGTACTTTATTTGATATAATAATGGCATGATAATTATGTAGGCAAACGGCTTTATGCTTAGTGAGTACATGCTAGAGAGTTTGGGAGTGAAGTGACATGAATATCTTCAACTGATTTTGAAATGAGGCAGACCCAGCAGCCACAACGCGCACACAAATGCACAGCAAGCGTTAACCAGATGCGGCGTTACCCATCAGTCAGTGCAGGCGGAGGTGAACGAAGGGTTCACTGCCCCACTCTTTCAACTTCTCTGTAGAGACATGTAAGACTTTTCAAAATGAAAACTGGAAAATAAAAGGGGGATAGTACTGTTGCTCCCTTATAAGTGTCCCCCCCACCAAATGTACCCATCCCCACACGTAATCATGCAACAGGAAATCTGTGCCCCTCTTACAGTGGAGAGTCTCTGAACTCCGACCTGGTGTAAATTACTCTGCGGAGCATTTCCGTACGTCAGGCAGTGACAGGGCTGGGTGCACGCACCAGCCTGGAGGTGTGGTGGTGCTGCTTCTCTGCCCTGATGCCAGGATTAAGTTATTTCCCTGAGCTTGGGGTGTTTTCATATTGTGACAAAATAAGAACAGTTCGGGATATAACATAAGGATATAATATAGGATATTTAGGATTCTAATAGTTCTTTACAATTGGAGAGTAGTTACATGAGAGACTCAGATGACAAACATTTTAAAGTTAATAGTTGTGTATTAATGTAATGTATATTTAAAGAATAATTAGGACATTATGATTTCCTATTATAGCCCAGGATACAGCTAAAGCAGTTAGAACTTTGGAAATAATGTAATAATACATTACATTATTGTAATGTAATGAACGTTGGAAATAATGTAAAGATAAATATTAAGTAAATAACTACACAGATGGTATGTAAATTTGGCAAAAATCATGAAGGTAGTGTTCAAGTAACTGAAGTTTAGAAGATGCTGCAAAACAGAAGATAATGTACTTACCACACTGCTGGCACACGGCAGGTGCTCAAGCTTCGTTTAGAGCTATCATTGAACTCCCTGTGGCAGGGGGGCTAGAAATTATGTTGTAGGAATTCATTTGAGAACTGGGGACTTGCCTAATAATGGAACCCAGAAGGAATGAGAACTGATGTAAAGCACAATGTTTTCAGCTTTGTAAATCCACCCGGACTTGAAAAGAGGTGGGGTAAGCTCGAGAGGAAGGGTCAAAAGATGGGGCCCTCACTCTGGATGTGCTCAGTAACCACTATGTGACTCGAACAAAGGATTTGGACTCAGCTTCTTCACTTGAAAAAATGAAGAGATATGACTAGAATCCATTGGTCTCTAAGGTCTCTTTCAGCTTGAAAATTCTACAGCTTGAGAGGCCCCTGGCTTTTTCTAAGAGTTGGTGCGAGACCATCTTTGGGTTGGCATTTGGAGGCATGTGATTTAGAGGAAAGAGTATAAGCTTCTCTCCTTCCTACAGCTGCTGAAAATCTGCTGTTTTGTTTAGCAGTAAAAATTTAACAGTATCAGCTCGGAGCTCTAATTCCAGCAGAATACCTGTTACTTACCTGCTGCCCATGTGTGTTGGACATCCCACTTAATCTCTGAGTCCTGGCTGCCTCACCTGTCAAATGGCAATAATTTCATGTACTTTACAGTACTGTTGTGAAAATTATCGGTGACGCATGAAAAGTTGATAGGTAGTTGTTTGGCAAGAATGATGAATGAGATGACAATGATGTGATTGAAGAGGCCGTTGTTTTATGGCCCTTTTACTATTTCTAGGAAGACCACATTATGTATCTTATTTTGTCGGTATAATAATACTATGCATTAGGGAATATTATACCCATTTTGGGGCCAAATTGTTATTCTACAAGTTACTGCCTATGAGACCTTAACCTCGTCTACTTACCTCTAAAATACGGATATTAATGGTGCTGCCATGAGTAGTATGATAGGCAGAATAATGGTCCTCCAAAAATGTCTGCAACCTCCTCCCCCAAACCTGTGAATATGTTACCTTATACAGCAAAAGGTAACATACCCACAGGCTTTTATGACTTTAATTCACAGGTTATATGACTTATAAATGTCATTGAGGTTATAGACCTTGAAATGGGGAGATCTCCTGGATTATCCAAATGGGCCAAAATTAAATCCCATGAATTCTTTTTTTTCTTTTTTTCAAATATTTTTGAAAGATTTTATTTATTTATCTTTAGAGGGGAAGGGAAGGAGAGAGGGAGAGAAAGATCAATGTATGGTTCCCTCTCGTGCATCCCCTGCTGGGAACTGGCCTGCAACCCAGGCATGTGCCCTGACTGGGAATCGGACCGCAATCCTTTAGTTTGCAGGCCTGCACTCAATCCACTGAGCTACACCACCCAGGGCCTTGAATCCCATGAATTTTTAAAAGGGGAGAACTTTCCTGGCTGCGGTCAGGGTCAGAGAGATGCAGTGTAAGGCCATGACCTCCCCATTTCTGACTATGAAGCTGGAGGAAGGGTGCCACTAGCAAAGGAATGTGGTGGCTTCTAGAGTTGGGAATGGCCCTTGCTTTACAAAAACACAGCCACTGGTTCTATAGCCACAAGGAACTAAATTATAACATCAACATGAATTTTCCCCCACAGCCTCTGGAAAAGAACACAGCCTTCCAATCCCTTAATTTTAGTCTGGTGAGACTTGTACCAGCCTTGTAATGTACGAGAACTATACAATAACAAATTTGTGGTAGTCGAGCCACTGTCTTGATGGTTGTTTGTAACAGCAGAAAGAGAAAACTAGTGTAGGTAAATGAGATAATACACTTACAGCAGTGAACAAGCGTCCAGCAGGCGTGTTCACTATTATCAGGCCCTGACGTTGCGTTTGCATTGTACCTGATCAGATTGTCCTGACCCCAGTGATGGGTATTATCAGGGAAGGGGGCTAAAGCTCCCGTGAGGTGTCCCTTGGTCCCCTCCCTGCTGATGATGGTTACTCTCTGCAAATGGGATCAAATTCCCTCTCCCAGGAAGGAGCTGAAGGGGGAAAAGGATTTAAAGAGAAACTACCAGACCCATGAATGGAATCCCATCTTAACTTTGGCTGCCTGAACTGCTGAGTTGTAGATGTCTAGTTATGTTTTAGAGGATGATGTGTACATAAAACACCATATTGTGTGAGTGGACGCGTGTGTACATCTGTACATTTTACACATAATATATTTTCAATTTATTTATAATCATTGTATTGATATTTATGTATAATTATATGTATACATGCATATGATTTATATCTAATAAATATATCATGTGTATTATAGGATATATCCTTCTGTGTGTGTATGTGTGTGTGTGTGTGTGTGTGTGTGTTCACACTCCATACAGTCATGTTAGAGTCAGCTTTCACTAAGGACTTGAAGTCCCTTCAGAGAAAGAGGTTGCTGGGAGGGAAAGTCTACTAGGTGCCATGTGCAATTAATTCTGAATTAGTGGAAGGAGAAGGAGCAAACCGACAGAATTCCACCCCATTGTCACCCCGGAATTCTAGGTCAGCAGTAGGTCTGGACTGCAGCCAGGGAACTAATTGAACATGTTGCATGCTCTCCAAGTAGAGTCTGGTTTCAGAGCCTCTGAACTAACTCCAAGGGCTCTCGAGGTGGTTCTAACACTTTGTTGATGACCTGACATTTCTGATCTCCAGACTGATTAGGAAATGAGGGGTGCTGGTTAATTAGCTATTTTTATGCTGGGATAAGGGGATTTACAATCATCCCCCCAAATAGATAAAAACTGAAGCTCCTATTGGGGAAATGGTTTGGGTCACGTACCCACTAAGTATCCAAATGGAAACTGGAATTCATGTTGCCATAACTGTATCCTATGTTACTTATTTTAAAATTTTAAATTATGTAATTATACATGAAACCATTTCCTTATTAAGTGTCTAATAATATAAATAAAATAAAAAATACTCCTTTACTCCTCTTCTCCAATCTCACTTTTCTCCCCAAACATCCTCTCATTTGTTTTTCAAGAAACTATTCTGTAGTTCTCTCCACCTGGTGGCTGCAGTCTTCTGCCACTTCGGGGCCCAGCAGCCTGAAGAAAAAAAGAGATAAAGTCTTTTTAAAACCAGAAAACTCTTTAAAACATGAAAAAAAATTAAAGACAGAGAAAGAAAAGGCTAATCTTTTTTGGAAAACCTTGGGAAAGTTCCAGCTCGCTCTGCACCGGGCCAACGCGACCCCCACCACACCTGGGCCTCCGTTGGTCCCTCCTGGTGGTCAGAGGGCTGAGCGGCCGCGTCCACACATCTCTGCTCCGGGGGCCGCTCTGTGCCACTGGAAGCCCTGAGCACGAGCACCGGCCTCCCCGCCAACCACGCATCTGCGCTGCCCTTTGCAGCTGGCCAGTTGGCACCCACGAATATTTTGTATCCCTCTTTCCTGGCTGCTGTAACAGGAAACCACCAGGATCCCAAAGCCAATATATAGAGAGAAATGTGTGTCCCGAGGGCCGCGTGGGCACCATTTAGTTACCTCTTTAAGAACTTTTATAATTTGGAGGGAAGTCTCCATTTAATAAATCTGCTTTTGAAATGAGTTTCAGACCAGGACAGCCGAAAATGACAAACTCTCAGGGACAGCCATGTCGCTTTTGCCTTTCGTCTGCAGTCTTGCAGTCTCAAACAACACGTCCGGGAATCCTCCGTCCCCTCCTGCTTCTGAGCCAAGTCCAGTTTCTCCGAGTCACTGCCACCTGCGAGCCGCACCGTGGGCACGGGCCGGGGCTCCATGAAGAGCCCATTTTTCCTGAGTGGTACCTGTAAGAAGCCCGCCTGGCTAGGTTCAGGGTGGCGAGGGCGGGAGATGAAGGCTGCAGCCGGCCATGACCCTACGGCCTCCCTCTACCTGGGTGACCTGCACTCGGATGGCAGCAAGGCCACGCCGTATGGAAAGTTCAGCCCCGATGCTGTCTGTCCATGCCGGTCCGCCGCAAAAGGATAGGAGCTGCTCCCTGGGTTCTGCCCGGGCCAACTTCCAGAAGCTGGCTGATGCTGAGCGGGCCTTGGGTACTGGGAACTTGGATGTAACTAAGGGAAAGCCAATCCACATCCTATGGTCTCAGAAGAACCCCCTCTTTGAGAAAATCTGGTGTGGGAAATATCATCATCAAGAACCTAGACAAATCTATAGATAACAAGGCACTTTGTGATACTTTTTCCGCTTTTGGAAACATTCTGTCCTGCAAGGTGGTGTGTGAGAAGAATGGTTCTAAGGGTTATACCTTTGTTCACTTCTGTACCCAAGGGGCTACAGGCAAGGCCCAGAAGATGAATGGCATGTTTCTCATGACCAAAAAGTGTCCCTGAACAGATTCAAGTCTCTAAAAGAGTGGGAAGCTGACCTGAAGCCAAAGCCAAGGAGTTCAGCAGTGTGTCTGTCAAAGACTTTGGGGGAGAATGGATGATGAGAGTCTAAAAGTACTGCCTACTCAGTTTGGTAAGACCCTAAGTGTCAAGGTGATGAGAGATCCCAGTGGAAAGTCCAAAGGCTTTGGCTTGTGACTTATGAAAAACGCAAGGATGCCAATAAGGCACGGAAGAGATGAATGTAAAAGAATTGAGTGGGAAAGTCATTTCTGTAGGCCATGCTCAGAAGAAAAATAGAATGGTAGATGGAATTAAAACAGAAATTCGAACAGCTGAAACAAGAGGGAATTAGTCAAGGGCAAATCTTTACAGTAAGAACTTGGATGGCACCACTGATGATGAGAAGGTTAGCGTTTTCTCCTTTTGGATCCATCACCGGTGCTAATGCTTCTCATCTCCCAAAGAGGCAACCAAAGCCTCTTCTTCTGCAATGACCAGGTGCACCGTGGGCTCCAAGCCACTGTATGCCACTCTGACCCAGAGGAAGGAAGAGTGAAAGGCTTACCTGACTAACCAGCATATGCAGTGGTTGGCTGGAATGAGAGCACTGCCTGCCAGTGCCATCTTAAATCAGTTCCAGCCTGTAGCTGGTGGCTGCTTTGTGGGAAGGCTCAGGGAAGACCTCCATATTACACACGTAACCAGTTGGCATAATGAGGCCTAATCCACGCTGGCAGCAAGGCGGAGACCTCACAGCTTCCAAGGAATGCCTAGTGCTATATGCCAGTCTGGGCCTTGTCCAACTCCTTACCATCTGGCTCCAACTGGTAATGCTCAGGCCTCTCATAGTCTCCCTACTTCTGCTCAGAAAGTTGGTTCTGAGTGCCTGGACCACTTGGCTATGGACTTTGGTGGAGCTGGTGCAGCCCAGCAAGGGCTGACTGACAGCTACCAGACTGGAAGTGTTAACACAGCTGTGCAGAACTTAGCATTTTGTGCTCCTGTGGCTGCTGCTGCCCCTTGGGCTAGTGCACCATACAAGTATGCCTGCAGTGTCCGCAGCCTTCATCCTTCCATTCCGTTTTTGCAGGCCAGAGGTTCTGCAAAGGTCCAGCCTGTGGTCTATATACAGGGGCAGGAGCCCCTGACTACCTCCATGCTGGCCACAGCACCCTTCCAGGACCAGAAGCAAGTGCTGGGAGAATGTTTGTTCCCACTTATCCAAACCATGCATTCAAACCTGGCCAGAAAGATTATGGGAATGTTGCCAGAGATGGACCACTGCAAACAACTGCAGGCACTGGAATCCTCTGAGTCTCTCTGCTCCGAGGTGGATGAAGCTGGAGTGGTTCTATAGGCATATTGTGCCAAGAAAGAAGCTGCCCAGAGGTGGGTGCTGCTGCTGCTAATACCTTTTAGACAAGGAAATAACCAATTCAAAAGCCAAAGAACCCCTCATTGAATTCAGCTCAAGGTTTAAAGATTTCCTACTTTATTCTATGGACTTCAACACCCAAAACCACAAACTGCAAATTTAATAGGTCATTTTGTATCAAAAGGTCAATTAGGAAGCACCTAGAATTTTTTCAATTAAAAGAATATATTGTCTGGTTCTGCTATTGTGGATTTTGATTTTTTCCCCCAGAAATTGGTTTTATTTGATATACCTTCAGTTTTTCAATAAAAAAAAATCTCCAAAAAGAGAAAAATATGTGTTCTATGAATCGTATACAATGTGCATAAATCAAAGATTACTCAGATTTAAGCCTTTAAAAAACATTAGAGTACACAACTTTCTTTGTCATTAACAATGTCAGTACATGATCACATTATTCTTTTTAACTGCTGCATAGTGTGTTGTATGTATCTGATGTATATATATCATGATGCATTTGAATCTATTTGGCCATTCCTCACCGAATAACATTAGGTTCTTTCCATAATTTTCACTGTCACATACAAACACAAACACAAAATGCTACATCAAATATCCTTATATGTGACTCTGTATGCATGTGACTCTGTATGCATGATGTGATTTCTCTTAAATGGTTAGATGTGTAATTGTATGTTGAAAAGGATAAGTGCTCTGCCCCTTTCTACATTTTTGTTTGTTTTTTGTAGCTACAGGAAGTTGCAGAGAAAATAACCCAGAGCTCTAGATTCAACTAGATGAAAATGCAGAACGTACTACCTGGGTATTGATGTGGATTGTTACAAAGACTGGTTGAGCCCCTTGTATAAGTTTTGAGGTATTTTCATACCACAGCCATGTCCAGGAGCTCCCTGTCTCTTTGTTATTGTTGTCTTATTTTCTTTCTCTCAATGACATAAATGTTTTTTATCCTAGCAGTTTCCTGCAGGTAGTAAAGATTCTGGTTCTCAATTCTGATTTTGAATCAAGTACATATATACAGGGTCTGGCAGAAGTAAGGCCTGCTTGAGTGTGATTGGCAGGGCAATAATATGGGTGTAATAATTTATAGTTTTAATTTGAACATTTCACCTAAAACGTCATATGGTGTGCTTGAGTGTGATAATGTTATGTTACAGAATTATCTGTTTATGACTTTATAATAAAAGATTTTGTACTGGACATTATACACACACATACTTTTGATTCCAGCCCTGAAGGCAGCATGCCAACTCTTTTCAACTTCAGCAATGTAAGAAAAGTAGTGAATGGCTCTCCCATTCTGGTATAAATGACCCTGCCAGGGCCATAGGGCTCACTGTGAGTAGCAAGGCATGAGAACCAGGCTGTGGAGCCCGTCAGAAGTCCAAGGTGTGGTGTGATGGGAGATGGGTAACTGAAATTACCTGGAGTTTCCTAGCCCCTGTGTTTCATTCCCCACAGGTCACTGGAACCTTGGTTTTTGCTGTTCTCACTGCCGTGCTGGGTTCCTTCCAGTTTGGATATGACGCTGGTGTTATGAATGCCCCTCAACAGGCAAGTGACACATGCACAATTCAAATCCCTTCCTGGAAATTTCTGTCAATATCAAAAAGATATCTGCTTCTCATGTGGAAAAATCAAGTGTGCCCATGTGGGGAGTGCGGGGTAATTCCAGCCTTCTGTTGGGGATCATGTGCGTGGTTCCAAAGCCTGTAACTTACTTGGCTTTGACTCCTCTTCACTTTATGATCTTCAGAAGAAAATAAAGAGCAATAAATAATTCTTGATTGTTGCTTTTTGCTAAACCCACAGGAAAAAAACCTTTAACCAGAATACCATGTGCCTTAGGATGTTTTTTTTTAAGTTAATAGCTTATTGCAGCATTCATTCAGACCTCTCAGCCGTATACAAATGGAAATGCCAGGGAATGGGTGGAAACTATAGAAGGATATGTTTCATTCTGTGCACAAACATCTATTGAATGCCAACTCACTGTGCGTAAAGAGCTTTAACATATGATCTCCCCAGTTTGACCCTCCCAATAATCTCATACTCATTTCTAGGCCAGATTAAAACCTTTAGGAGCATTAACACTAAAACAGATTCTAGTCCTTCTCTGAGTTCCTGTCTTCTATGGGTGCTTCAAAGTAAAATAATACAAAACTTAGATAATGGTCAAGAAGTTTCACAATACATGGATTTTTCCCATGATGACCATTTGGATGGGTATTTTTAAAAATATTAAATAATTTTCATCATTTTTCTCATTTATTTTATGCATCCCTACTCTGGTACCCAGTCAATAGACAGAAGAGGGATGTCATTTTTCTCAGCTCTCACAGCCTGAAATTGAGTGGGAGGAGCCAGAACTTGACTCCCTCTGCCCTAATTCACATTGTCAGGTCACTTAGTGTGGGATTGATGTCTTGTACCTCTTCCTATCACCAAGGCCAAGCACAATGATTGGCGTAAAGAAGTTCAGTCAAGTGTTTAGTGAAGGAGAGAGAGAGAATGAAAGCTGGCAGGGGTCAGGGAAGGCTGGCAAAGATGAAAAAACAGACTTCTGTTGGATGCCTTCTGCAAATCAATTATATTTTACCTGCTTCTTTTACAACATTAAACTCCAAGGAAAATGTGAGATCTTGCAGGATGTGAGCCTGTGAAATGTGTACTCACCAGTCAGTTAGTTCATCACCTGAAATGAGTTGCTCCTTGGACCAACAGCTGTGCTCTGGTCAGGCGCCACGTATCTCATGACTATGGCAGACCTCACTGAGGTTGGGAGATTTAGGAAATAACACTGGGGCGGGGGGGGTATCTTTTTTTGTGGGTGATGGCAACAAGTGCCAATTTAGCAGGTTTTCTGAAACTTACCTCAATATTACCATAATTGGCAGGGCCTCTTTTTGTGGAAGACTGTTTCAAATCCTTACTTAAAGCATCCTTTCTAGTCTTAGAGGGAAACTTCACCTAAGGCTTCCTCCCCTTCTATCACAGTCCTAGATCCAGACCTGAAGACAGTGATTCCCCACTGACATTGGGCTTAGTGCCCTCTCTGTAACCCCTTCCTTTAAACATTGTCACATAATAAGAGTCACTCAGGTCCATTTGTTTTTATTAGCAGAATGACATTTAGGATTATTTTAAGGTATTTATAAATCACATGTTCTATGATTATGAAAAACTACACATGCCTGTTGCAGAAAGTATTAGAAAAAAATTACTCATAATTATTCTATCACATGGAGCAGACTACTGAGGACATTTTGGATATTTCCTTACAGCCGCTTCTCTAGGTACGAGTATATTATACATATAGTGTGATCTTCAAATGAGGGAAATTTCTTCGTCGGACTTCTGTTATCATAAAAGGATGTCAATTCTTTCCCTCACTTAGCTGACTTTCCCAAGTAGTCCTTCACCCATGACAGGCAGCCTAGGGCAGCTGCACTCCAGGTCCTTGTCAAAGGTCTTCATCAAAGGTTCTCATCAAAGGTCCTCCCTGACCATGGCTGCTGAATAATGACCAAGTCACCATTGAGAGAAATGGCAGGCTTTCAGGAAGAGAGCCTGAAGGATGTGCCTTTTCTCCATTATACTTTTATATGATCTTTGCCTCTATTGAAACACATTATAAAGTATGGCTCTGTGAAGTTCAGTTTGGAATATTGTTTATTCTATTACACACTGAACTCGTTGAAAAGCCATAGGTTGCAATGTCTTCTCAGGGGCCACTGAGTATTTTTAATCTTTGGAATTCATCAGTAAACATGACTGTTTTCCTCTCTACCCATCGGCTGCTAGGAAGTTTATTGCTAAATTATAGTTCACTTCTAGCGAAGATACAGCACCTAGTGTTTGAATTTTGTAAAATGACTTTATTTCGGGTTTCATCTTTCCCAAATTTTAAAAATATCACTTTTATGTTTCCATTAAATATTTACATAAGTCAATTTGTGTAAGGGCAACACTGGTGTGGAAATGTATCTTTTTAGCCTGCAGGATATTTTCCATTTAAATAGTAGACAACACTTACAACTTGAAATTTTTTACATAAAAACCCATATTTCCAGCTTCTTTTTCAAAATGAAAGGTCATCAACACTGGCCTCAGGTTTGTGGCTTCCTCCTTCAGATGGGACAAATTCCCTCTGGTGCCAGGGTCCTGCTCACTTGCTGTTATACCCTCAACAATAAAGAAGGCATTTCAGTCCCCCTGTTAAAGTTCTCCTAGTTTATTTGTTCCCACTTGCTTCTTGTTGGCACCAGAACCTGTGACCTGTTTTATAGGATATAGTCAACTATAAATAAATCTACAAGTGTTTGTATGTGTGTAAGGCACATAACTGAGATGATCCTATTTAAACACCTAACAAGTGCTTTAAAGAAAAAAACTAACAGGGAACATAGAACCAGAGGCATAGAAACATGGAACGGACTGACAGATTTAAGAGGGGAGGTACAGGAGGGGACTGGTTGAGAGAAGATGAAGGTATTAGTCAAAGAACATGCATGAGTGACCCACAGACAGGAACAACAGTGTGGGGAAAGGCTGTGGGAGTGGGGAGCGGGCAGGGTGGAGGGGGCAAAGGGAAAATAATGGACACAACTGTAATAGCATAAACAATAAAATATTTAAATTAAAATTTTATAAAAGGAAAAAACAGCCCTGGCTGGTGTAGCTCAGTGGATTGAGCACAGGCCTGCAAACCAAAAGAACGCAGTTCGATTCCCCATCAGAGCACATGCCTGGGTTGCAGGCCAGTTCCCAGCAGGCGATGCATGAGAGGCCGCCATACATTGATATTTCTCTCCCTCTCTCCTTCTCTTCCCCTCTAAAGATAAATAAATAAATAAATAAATAAATAAATAAATAAATAAAATTTAAAAAATTTAAAAATAAATAAATAAATTTTAAATAAAAAATAAAATTATTTTAAAAAACATAAAAAGATATAAAATGTTTGAAATGTTGGAGTTATTTTTTAATTGTATTTCCTCAGGTAATAATAGCCCATTATAGATATGTTTTGGAGGGTCCACTGGACGACCAAAAAGGTATCAACAACGATGCTTTTGACAGTACAGAGGGACTGCCTACGAATCCACACTTCCTAACTGCAACACCAACCCCATGGGCTGAAGAAGAGTCGCCATCTTCTGGCCTCATCACTATGTACTGGTCCCTGTCTGTGTCCATGTTTGCAGTTGGTGGAATGATCGCGTCATTCTTTGGAGGATGGCTAGGGGACCAGATTGGAAGGTAGGCAAATTTCACAAATAAGCATAAGTACAAAAACTTGAGTGGTTTAGGTTTATTAGAATTGACTTAGAAAGAAATCATCTTTCTTTTTGTGGGATAGTTTCCCAGTTATTTTTTCAATGTGTGACCAACCCTATGAGTTAGGTTGGTATTGAACCAAGTAATGGAAAAAGCTGCTGTACCAATTTGCTTAATTGTGGAGGCATTTTGCAGAAAAAGTAAATTTGGTGGAATACTGCCTTGGTTCCTGGTTTCTAAGTCATAAAATATGCTAAGAAACTCCCAAACAAATTGTTAACTCAAGAGCACAATGGAAAAACCAAAAGTAAAAATTTTAACCAGGGAGTCCATTGTTTGCTTCAGCAAATTGCTCCACTTCTCAGACACCCAGGTTTTCCTCTTCAGACTAGAACTTGGCATTTGGATCAGTCAGGTTCTAAGATCCAGATAACATTCCCCAGCTCCCAAGTGCTGAGACACTTGGCATGGGTTTTTTGGCTACTGCTACTGCTATCTCAAACCCCAACCAAAGACAAAGCCAGTGCTGTCTCCATTTCTCTCTTCTGGTTTCTATGAGGTGTTTTGCATGAAAAACATCAGTGGAACTCCTTTACACCCAAATTTTACTCAGTCATGTGACATACTGAAGCTCTTGGGATCCTCTCAGCCCCCATAAAGAGGAAAAAAATAAAATTAGAAAATCAAGTGATTATTGCTTTAAATGTGTTTTCTACTCAAGTGATTATTTTCTTTAAATGTGTTTTCTAAGTGCACCTTTTGTTTATTACCTACCTTTTCCTGGTGATGAAAATAAATTTATATACAAAGATGGAAATTTAAAAAAAGTCAAAAACCTTTAAAAATGTAAACGACATAGGCTAAGTTACAACTGTTCTAGCGATTCTGGATCACACATTATTTAGTTTTCAAAACTCCTACTTTAAATTATAATTTTATCCCTCTGGTTATAAGATTCTGATAAATTTTTTCTCTTATACTAGAGTTTTAGAACTAGAGATCTATATTAAGACTGTAAGAAATTTTCTTAAGTAACAGGCAGTGGCATGGGAACCCAAGTTTTATTCTTTTTCTTATTCGAAAGGGACTTTTCTCTACTATAAAAGAAAAATGATCAGTTCCTCATATTTTTATCAACTTGCTGGAGTTTAGCTGAACTTTAAACCAAAATCCATAAATTCCAGAGTTAATAAACTGACTCTTATCATAAAAAATTTAAATCATTTTATTTTGTACCAAATTGGTTTAAATAATAACCAGTAACTGGAAATTTTTCTAGGTTATTTTTAGAATAAGTAAAATTAATCAAAATTAAATTAAAATTTTAAATATGGACAAAGTAAGTCTTTTAGCAGGTACTGATGTTTTATACTTCTTCCCATCCCTGAGAAGGAATGTAAGCCCTTGCTGTCTTCCATTGAGAAACAAGGATCTGAGAGGCCCAGCGACTTAATTGGAAACATTTAGTGTCCTAGTGATTGAACTAGGACATTTGTCCTCTCAATTGTTAGGGTTTAACACTAGCACTGGTCACACCCCAAGACAATGTCAAATGACCAATTATCAAATGACTAAAAGGGAGGCTTCCTCCAGCTCTCAGTGGAAAAATGATTCTCCATGAAAAACAGCTATAAAATTAATCATTTTAACTTAAAAATTAACACAAAAGAGTTGGTCTCTCCTGTAAAACTATCTTTCTAGGGGTGATTTGCTCAGAAATGATTTTCCTTATTGCCAGGGTTATTACTTCACCAGTTAAAAGTAAATAAATGAAAACATATTTCTCCATCACTGCTTTTACTTGTATAGTGGTCAGTAGATATCTGTACATGTTATTTTTCAGTTTGGGTTCTCAGGGTTGAGTTTTCCAAGGCTATGAGTTTACAATTTAATTGCGAGAGTGTGACAGGGTGGCCATGGTGTGTGCAATCCGCACTACCTGGGAAATGCTTTCTTTCTTTTGTATGGAAAACGGAACTCACTAAAATGAAGCATTACCCTTTGGTTTCACGCAGATCAAGTCTCAACTCTGTCACTTAATAGTTATGTGAAAATGAGCAGGTTACCTAAGTTCTCTAAGACGTTTTCTTCTCATCTGCAATGTGTGTGTGTGTGGGGGGGGCCTTACCTTGTGGCATTACTGCGAGTACTGAAAGAGAGGGAATGTAAAGGGTTTAGCACAATGCCTGGTGCAAAGGAAGCAAGCAGCAAATGCAGCCTTAGTTTGGTGATGATGATTGGGAGAACAACAATGGCAATGATGAAGCCCATGCTAACAGGAGTATTTAGACCAAGATTTAAAGAAATTTGCTTTCTTCTCCTTGATTCAACCATTTCAAGTATTTCTAGATTATTTTTCTTGGCCATTTCCCACATCTGAGCAGAAGTTAAAATCCTTTAAGTTATATAAAGTGCTCCAGTACCCAGTGGTGCTGAAGAAGAGGGACTTTAGAGCAATCTTGTGTCAAAACTACTTCCAGGTTATTAGGACTTTTTAAAAACCTCTCCCAACTCTGCCAAGTAAAATAGACTATGAACTAGCTATAAACAATTTTTAAATATAGCTTATTGTATTTCCTGCCCTCTATCCTTGTGTAGAGAAAGAGCACTCCACAGAGAAAACCCGTTTTCTAGCCTGCAGCTCTAAGCTGATCAGCTCTAAGTCACTGGTTCCCCTGCCTTTGAGTAGTTGGTAATTCCATGCATTATCACTCTAATGACTTACCACACACTTGATGCCATCAATGCACTCTTTACTTTCATCGACATAGCGCCTTCTCTTCTGCCTTCCTCTTATAAGGACACTTGGGATTCCGTAGTTGGGGCCACCTGGATAACCCAGGATAATCTCTTCATCTCAAAATCCTTAGTTTAATCACATCTGGAAAATCCCTTTTGTCATGTAAGGTGACGCATTCCCGGGGTATGAGGATTAGTTCATGGACTATTGGGGGATGTTATTTTTCAGTCTATTGCATGGTTGTTGGGCAATCATTGCAGTATGAGAGTTCATAGTTTTACTCTCAAAAAATTGTTTGGTGTTAAAGATACTTGCTTAGGAAACTCACTTTTTAAAGTCTGAAACATTAAAAGAGAACAGAACAAGATGCTTACATTATGTGTAGCACACACATTTCCAAACCTGTCCATTCAGATTATATCATTGACCTTATCATCATCGACTTTGAAGGAGGTTTCTTTGTACCTCACTTTTCCATTTAACAGGAATAAATGTATTAAAATGTCAAATTTCATGTGATTAATTTTGAAAAGGTTTTTATTGCTATTGTCAGCTTTTTTACACATTTTACATAAGTTAACATTAATTAGTGGATTTGGAAAATATGCTGACATACAATTTTAAAATAAGAATAATTATAACTCTCTATGATAACATCTACTGAAAAACTATGATGGAGAATTGTAACCCACCCACCATTCTTTTGATGTTGTTTCTGTAAGTGCCGACTCTGACTAATATGTAGCTTGTAGATGAACAGCGTGTTTGTACAAGAAGCCTAGGAACAGATTTCAAAAGATACAGACCCCAGCCTTCAGGCAATCCCCAGTTCCAGGGAAATTTGCTGACCTTCAGCCGTGGAATCAGGATGCTGTGAAGTCAGGATGACTGAATGGTGCCCACCAGACCACCACTTGCCTTATTGGAATGGACTGTGCTTGTCTGCACATAGAGAACTTTCAACCCCCTCCTTTAATCTCTTTCTTTGTTGTGTTCCCCTTTCCCTCTTTTAAAAACCTCTGCCTCCACTGAGAGGTGGAGCTGGGCTTTGAGACATGAGTCCTCCATCTTTCAGGTGGTGGGCATCTGCAAATAAACCCCTTTCCTTTACATCAGCACCTGCCTCTTGAGTATTAGCTTTTGCAGAGGCAGACAGCTCTGGACCTGCTTTCTGTTAGTTTTTGGTGATGCAGATGGGACTATGTGGACCCCAGTGAAGCCTGGAGGGGTCTCAACTGCTTGTGGCAGGCTGACCCCACGGTAGGGATTGCAAAAGTCCCCAATCCTTTATCTCGAGAACTCTCTCTGTTCTCCTTCTCAAGGTCATCAGCTGCCTTTAAACGCTTTGCTGATGAAATAAGTGTCTGGAGAGTTGACAGGTTCCAGCTGGGGAGTTGATGGACTCCAGTCTTAATAGTTTGTTTTCTACTTGGAATATTATTGTTCAGAGAAATTTGCATGGGAATCATAGTGCTTTCTAATTATCTCTTCATTTGTTTTTCTGTTCCTGAGCAGGAGGAAGTCAGTTTTAGTTTGAGAGCACTCCTCTGTTTATCTTGGTTACAGTTATCTTTTGCTTGTTTTTTTATCTTTTGGGAAACTTGGTTTGATCTTTGCTGCTTTGTATGCCCCCAGAATCTTCTGCCTCTGCTGTTTGCGCTGTGCCATTTGGGCCCTTAACAGTTATTCACGGTACCGGCTGATATGAGATAGTGTCTCCGCTGTTTAGGCTTTTGTGTATTAGTGGTACCAGTTGGTATCAGATAATGGGTCTGCTATTTGGGCTTCATGCCATTTGGATCTCATCAGGGTCGTTTGTAGCACCAGGTGGTTTGAGATAAGACTCTAAGGCTAGTGTCTCATTCCCTCCTTTTAGAGGATTTAATTTTAGAATATTAGTTTGCCTGAATGTTGTCTTTGCTTTAGGTTTAGTTTCTGTTTCTGTTTGAAAGGAATGGGCTCAGTCTCGGTCTTGAAGTGTTTTGCTAAACCTCCGGTAAATGGGATAAGATCTCTAATGTTGTTATATCATAAGGATTCTATTGAGAAAGAATTGAAATTGATTGTTTAAAGAGGGAAAAAGATCTCACTCCTTTCTCAGACAGTAAAAAGCTCAGGAAGCAAAGCAATGAGAAAAAATGCCTTTTAAAGACTCTGAATCCACCTTCTGGAGGCCCAGGAGCTGCTTCAGTCTTGGGAACAGGCCATGCCACACACCAGGTGTCTCCTCCTTCTCTTTTCTTCGGTCTCCCTAAAGTTTTCAAGAGCACCAGATAATGAGAGAGCTTGCTTTTGAGCACACTCAAGGAATGCAGTAATCACCAAGAATAAAAAATGTAAATGTATTTTCCACTGGGGAAAAACCGTTTCTGAAAGTTATTAAATGTGTTCATAAATTTGTCAATCTAAAGCATGCTTATTACTTACTTTTAGTTGTTACTAAAAATTGAGAATTTTGATTAAATTTAGAAAAAATACATGGTTTTTGTAATAAAAGGTGTAAATTATGGAAATATATCTTTAAAAACTAGAATTGAGTGTGGGTTACTCTAAAGTTGGTTATGTCTGGATGAGTTGAAAGGGCAAAGTGAAATGGGCTAGAAGCATTGAAGGAGGGTTGTGTAAGTTGCAGAAGTTCTATCTGAGTTGAAGAGGGTCTGTGCAAGTTGAAGAAGGATTGAGTAGCAGGGGTGTCCAACCCATGGCCCGCGAGCCACAGGTAACTGAGAATGCCTATGAATGTGGCCCAACATAAAATTGTTAATTTACTTTAAATCTTTTTTTCTTGCTCATCATTTTTTGTTAGTGTTTGTGTATTTTATGTGTGGCCCAAGACAAGTCTTCTTCTTCCAGTGTGGCCCAGAGGTGCCAAAAGTTTGGACACCACTGTTAGAGGGGGAAAACGAAAAGAGAAGAAGTTAAGGAAGTGAACACGGTTGAGAAAGAATAAAGGAACGGGATGTACAGGAAGGAAGGACTTTGGAGTAAGAAACTCAAGAAGAGAAATGGAAATGGGAAAAAAAGAAATTTAAAAAAAAAGCAAAGGCACACAGAAACCTGGTAAAGCAAAGTGATCATTTGAATGACAAATGAAAAAGCAAATGGCTCTCTTTGATTTTCCAAAACCAATTGTTATTTGTCAACAGAAACCCCAGGCGCAATTAAATAGTGGGCAACAAATTAATTGACTCTTTGGTCTGATATGCTTTTATCTATAATTCCGATTGTTATCTTAAAATTTTGTTACCAAAAATGACAAAAGGAATGGCACATTCCTTTGTTAATTGCATTTTAATCATGTCATTTAGAAATGTCATTTACAGACAGTCATTGTTTTACTCTTGTGCATTTGCAAAAATATTACACCTTCTGACTTATCCTAAAATATGAGTTTCTGAGAATAAATTTTGAGATCCTACCCTTGAAATAGATGGGGATGTGTGGGATTCTGGGGACTGACCGAACTCATAGAGATACTGGCAGATGATAGGATTACACAGGAGTTGATTGTGGGACTGAATGATCTAAAAATAATTACTGTCCTTGTGACTTTGTTCAAAATATTGTTGATTTTTTAAAAACTTATTTGTCTTTATAGAGATATTTGGTAAACTGTAGCAATATTGAAGCATTTATATTTTTCTCCCTACTTGATCCCTCCAGAATTTGGAAACTCTGAATGAATTAGAATTATTATTTTCATGGCAATATGTTTATTTGCATGAATCCAATAGAAATCTGATTTCTTCCAGTTTCCAAATGTGGATTTATTAGTCAAGACTTTTCCTGGAATGTCATGTCTGAAAGAGATATGCCTAGACTTGGGATGTCAGCAAAAACCTTTAAGGAATAAAGATTGACTTTAGAACTGATAAAAGCCCCTTAGAGAGATGGCCTGGTACTTTACTTATTCATATGGTTCATGGCAGTCTTCCCAGGTAAGGAGCAAAGGTTACTTTCCTGGGGGATGATAAGAAAAGAACCTCAAGACATTTTGGAGACCTTGAGAACTAGAGAAGTTTATCCAAATCTGTAGGTATTACAGACAAAGTCTTGTGGCAACTATGTAGCTTGGCTTCTTTGCCCTGAAAGGCTAGTTAAAGTTCAATCTTAAAATTTCTTATGAGATTTATTCTAGCAAAGTATATTTGAGAAAGCCTATATAATCAATTGTTACTCGTGTTGTGTTTATGCCAAAACACAATCAGCCAAACTGAAGCAGTACTTAGTATAGTAAGTGAATTGGTCTTGATTTGACTCTGATAAAATGAGGGTGATTTTAGGAGAAAAATTATGTTTCATAAAATCTATAATGCACAACTAGAGAAATGAGACTCTAATTCAATGAATTTTCTGTAAAATTTTATTTTTTGCCTCTAAACAAGACTGGGTCCTAAATTTTTCTAGTTTTTCTTAAATGTTTTGGGTACAACCATCTAACTCCATAGAAATGGAAGAAAAATTGACAGTGGGGGTTTGTAACAGTAGAAAACAGTAATGGGACTTGTAACCCAGCCCACCATTCTTTTGACGTTGTTTCTGTAAGTGCCAGCTCTGACTAATGTGTAGCTTGTAGATGAGCACATATTTGTATAAGAAGCCTAGGAACTAAGTTCAAAAGATACAGACCTCGACCTTCAGGCAACCCAGTTCTGGGTTCTTGTTGACTGTCAACCATGGAGCCAGGAGACATGTAGTCAGGATGGCTAAACCAGGATGAGGCACACCAGACCACCACTTGCCTTATCCAAATGGACTGTGCTCATCTGAATGCAGAGAACTTTTCAACCCCTCTCCTTCGATCTCTTTCTTTGTTCTGTTCTCCTTTCCCTTCTTTTAAAAACCTCTGCCTCCACTGAGATGGGGAGATGGGCTCTGAGAGGTGAGGCCCCCATCCTCCAGATCCCAGCATCTGCAAATAAACTACTTCCCTTTACATCAAACATCACCTGCCTCTTGAGTATTTGTTTTTGTAGAGGCAAGCAGCCACACCTGCTTTTGGTTACAAGGCTTAAAGTAAAAGCATGTCTTAATTTCCTTCAAAATAATTCATAAATATGAAAATGTAACTTTAAAATTCCTTTCATGATCTACATCAAGTAAAAACTTGTTCTAAAAGAATGAAAAAAAGTAAGGTGTCATAGATTATAAGTACGAATTGAATTTAGCTATCACCAGGCAATTGTTGTTTAAAATAACCAATTCATAGAAAATTTAATTCATTAACTATTTGAAAAAGTATCACAGTTCAGTCATAACTCAAACTGGTTATCACCACAATTGAATCATCCCCATCAAAACATGAAGATCTGGTGCATGAAATTCATATTCTCTCATTATAAATATCACTCACTGGTAATGCTTCAGTTTGTAGAAATCAAAGTAGCAATCATGGTTTAAGATTCCCCCAACTAGCATTTTCAGCAAAATTAAAATAATCTCTTAGGTAAGAAAAATTCTCACCATGCTCTGAATACGAAAATATTTCAAGGTTTGATGCTGAATTTATAATCCTTACTTTTTATTTCAGAATCAAAGGCATGATGGTAGCAAACATTCTCTCACTAGCTGGAGCACTCTTGATGGGGTTTTCAAAATTGGGACCTTCTCACATTCTAATAATTTCAGGAAGAGCTATGGCAGGACTGTACTGTGGTAAGTGTCATACACACATACACACGCTTGTGTGAAAATTACTCCAAAAGCAGATGTGGTAACATGCAGGGAATACTTTGAGCTTCAGGTGACATCCCAAAAGGGATAGGCAGTAGCATGAAGTTTAACTCCTGAGTCAGGGAGGTTTGGGATCCATAAGCGGAAGTTGTATCTTCTTACCCATGGCAATATTGCTAGTCATATGACCACAGATAATTCTTAATTCTCCATTTCTTTATCTAGTAAATGATGAGAATAATACCTTCCTTGTAGAGTGTTTGTGAGAATACATATAAAATGTTCAGCATAGAATCTGACTATGGTAAACTGCCAAGAAATGCTAGCTACTGCTATTACTCCTGATGTGTAGTAGACAGTGGAAGACTGATAGACCCAGAAACTGTGGCTTGGCCCTAATGGCCTAGCTGGCTGATATGTCTCTGCCTCTTCTATCTGGAAAGACATTGACCCTGGGCTGGTCTCTCAGACCATACTGCCTAGCCTTGTCAGATTTCACAACTGGCTGGGTGAAGGGTTAAAGTGGTAGTGACCCCAGAAAGAGTGAATCAGAAAGAAGTAGTTGGTAGAAGAGCTCACAATGGAGGATGGATGCTCTTCTCATGAACTTGACAACTAAATTACTGGAATCGTTCAGTCTTGGAAACAACTTTTCTTTCTCTATGTGATAATACAGTTTTATTGTTTTTTTCCAGTTACCATTTATCTCCCCATACCCTTCTCCCCCATGGAATCACCACACTGTCTATGTCTGTGAGTCTGTTTTCCTTTTCCCTCAATTCCTCTACCCCCTAACCTCCCCCGCTGCACTATAGCTTTCAGCCTGCCATGAGTCTGTCTCTATTTTGCTTGTTAGTTCAGTTTGTTCATTAGATTCCACATATAAGTGAACATATAGTATTAGCCTTTCTCTGACTGGCTTATTTCACTTAACATAATGTTCTCCGGGTCCATCAATTCTGTTGCAAAGGGTAAAATTTTCTTCGTTTTTATGGCCAAGTAGTATTCCACTGTGTAAATGTCCCATAGTTGTATCCACTGATGGACACGGGCTGATTTCATATTTTGGCAATTATAAATAATGCTGCAATGAACATAAGGATGCTTATGTTCTTTTGAATTAGTGTTTTGGGTTTCTACAGATATATTCCCAGAAGTAGGACTGCTGGGTCAAAAGGCATATCATTTTTAACTTTTTAAAAAGATTTTATTTTAGTGTATGTGCTGCCGAAGCAAGCACACACACACAAAAAAGATTTGATTTAATTTCAGAGAGAGGGGAAGGGAGGGAGAAAGAAGGAGAGAAACATTGATGTGTGAGAGCTATCTCAGCTGGTTGCCTCTTTTACGCCCCCAGGGCAAAATATGGTCCACACCCCAGGCATGTGCCCTGACCAGGAACTGAACCAGCAACCTTTTAGTTCACAGGCCTCCACTCAATCCACTGGCCCACACCAGTCAGGGCTGTTTTTAATTTTTTTGAGGTAGCCTCACACTGCTTTCCACAGTGGCTGCACCAATCTGCATTCCTACCAACAGTGCAAAAAGGTTCCCCTTTTCCCACATCCTCACCAGCACTTGTTTGTTGATTTATGGATGATAGCCATTCTGACTGGTATGAGGTGATATCTCATTGTGGTTTCAATTTACATTTCTCTGATGATTAATGATGTTGAGCATATTTTCATATGTCTGTTGGCCATCTGTGTATCCTCTTCGGAGAAGTGTCTCTTCAGATCCTTGGCCCGTTTTTAACTGGATTGGTTTTTTTTGGTGTTGAGTTTTGTAAATTTTTATAAATTTTGGATATTAACCCTTTATCAGATGTATCAGCAAATATGTTCTCTCATTCTGTGGATTGTCTTTTTATTTTGTTGATGGCTTCCTTTGCTGGGTAAAAACTTTTTAGTTTGATGTGGTCCCATTTGTTTTATTTTATTATTTTTATTTTATTTTATTTTATTTTATTTTATTTTATTTTGGGAGGAGAAACTACTTTTCAAACTTTCAGAAGCAACTAATCAGCAGAGGCCTCAACAAAAGGAGGATCACACAATCTCTAAAACAGTCAAATCTTTACCTTCTCAGTACCAGTGATGTCCTGATAGTTGTGGGTTGAGTTTTTAAGCCACTGTCCCAAACTGTAGCAATTATAAACCACTAATCTCATTGGAGGTGGGAGAAGAGAGGCAAGGTCACAAAATCGTGTATAAAGTATTTATAACATTTTTACTTGCAAAGAGGAAAGACTATAATTTCATGCATCTTCAATGATCAGTTGAAAAATAAGGCTAAAATTATTTCATTAAATTTCTCTTTTTATCATTTTCAATGTTAAAATGAATCACTGAGAGTCAGGGTAGCTTTATCAAAGTGAAAAGTCAACCCACATATGGAAAGAGCTTTGAATTCATACTGAATCAGTTCTAGCCCCATCTCTGTGTAATCTTAGATGTGTTCACTGAGTATGAGCCTCAGCTTTCTCTTCTGAAAAATGCAAATAATAGCATTAACAAAGAGGTCCAAATCATGGTTCTTCTTTTTTTCTCTGTTTTAAAAAAATATAGTAAAAACAAAAAATAGAGCTGCCTTATGAGCCATTTCCATTCCATTTCTGGGTGTTCAACCAAAGAAATCTAAAACACTAATTTATAAAGATATACGCGCCCCTATTTTTATTGTAGCATTATTTACAATAACTGAGATACAGAAGCAACCCAAGTGTCTATCAATAGACAACTGGATAAAAAAGATATGGTGTGTATTACAATGGAATATTATTACTTGGCCATAAAAACAAAAAGAAAAAAACAATGAACTCTTGCTATTCGTCACAGTATGGATGGACCTAGATGTTATTGTGCTGAGCGAAATAAGTTACTCAGACAAAGACAAATACCATATGATATCATTTATATGTGGAATCTAAAGAACAAAATAAGTGAACATACAAAACAGGAACAGACTCACAGATACTGAGAACAGACTGATGACTGCTAGAGGGGAGGGGCTTTGGGTAGAGTGGCTGAATGAAAAAGATGAAGGAATTAAGAAGTACTATTTTGGTAGTTACAAAATAGTCACTGATATAAAATACAGCTTAAGGAATGTACTCACTAATGTTGTAACAACTATGTATGGTGCCAGGTGGGAACTAGAATTATCGAGGGGATCATTTTGTAAATTATGTAATTGTCTGACCACTGTGCTGTTCACCTGTGACTAATATAAAATAATATTAAATGTCAAAAATTAAATACATTATTTTTGCAAAAGCAGCTTAAAATCTTTAAGAAAATTTAGTTATTAAGTTATACATAGGACTGATTAATAGAATAAAATCTGTAAATTGAAATGAAAAGTTCAAGAAAAACGTATTTTAAATTTTCTAACATTAATAAATTGAAATTAAAGAAGAAATTAAATACAGTAAAAATGCAAAATGTTTTTCATAAAGTTGAAAAGAAATGTTATAAAACCATTGTGAAGTAACCTATCACTAGCATAGCCAAGTATACTTGTACTCTCCAACCATTTTTTAAAATTATGTTCTGGTCCTATTCTGAGCACCAAAGTTACTAAAAATGATAGGAAATGCAATTTGACTTCAGGTTCATGGACATGAGACCTGTGAGTTTACCTACATTGTCAACAGAATTTCAGATGCTGTATCAACCATGCAACTATTCATGTGAAATACTAAAAACAATGTAAAGCTAAAAAACACATATTGAAATAGCTCCTGAAAGTATCTTTTACACAAGGGCCATCCATCTCCACTCCATAGGCAGCCAGTGTCTGTAACAGGAAGCCTCTGACAGATCTTATTTTTAAATTCTTAAGAACATGACAAACACTGCATCCGGCCTTGCTTTATCAATAGTCTCTGACCTTTCCCTGCACTTGGCAAATGGCTGGGAATGCCACCATGTCCAACATGACTGATTACATCTGCATTTAAGAAAATTATAGAAGGCAGAAGGTCCTAGTGCTTCTCAGTTTTTGTATGGTAACCCTTTAAGCACCCAAAGTCTTCATTTAAATCAAATCTTTTCTGAAGACCATTATTTGGAGAGAATAAAGAAGAAGCTGGGTTACCCTGGCTAGAGTAACTGGGGGAAGAGTCCCTTAGCTCCTTAACCCTTTCCACCTCTCTAAACCCCATCACTCTGGCAGTGTGACCTTGAGGTACCTCCACACCGCGGAAACTTAGCGAGGGCTCATAGTTCTCACGCTAACACTCAACTGCACTGTGATCTTGGGTGAGCCATTTCTCAGCCCAAGCGAGTAGTGACGTTGGTCTAGACCCGTTCTAATTTCTTCAATCCATGAGTCTCAATTAAGAATATTATTATTTTTTAAATATTATTATCACATTCTTCAGTCTCTTTACTTAAGACATCTGAAAGCATTATGATGTAAACTCAATACTAATATGAATTTTTTAAATTAAGACAATGTTATAAGTAATTGCCAGATACTTGATTAACCATTTCCTCCTATTCATATGTCAAACTATCATTTTATTTGTAATCTTATCAACAAATATTCTTTTCATAAATTGTGTCTTTATTTGGAAACAAGGGTTTTCTTCCTTTAACAGATGCAGAAAGAAACTTTCCGTCTGAATGGTAACTGTACGTAAGCCAAATTCATGTTATTGAAATAGTCCTGGCTGCATATTAACATTTATGTTCATGTTCTATGCAGGCTTAATCTCAGGCTTGGTTCCAATGTACATTGGCGAAATTGCACCACCCTCACTCAGGGGTGCTATTGGCTCTCTTCACCAGCTGGCCATTGTCACGGGCATTCTTGTTAGTCAGGTAAAACCCCCACCCCCTACTTCATCCGTCCTCTACTTTATGCAACTTTTTTCTCCCTGACTGTCCATTCTCATTGTAGACTTACATAGAAAAAAACAAAACAAAACAACTGCCGCCAGTGGTAGTGCAGGTGGTGTAGAATCATAGGTTTTTAGCTCAAAGCTAAATTATTTCTACTCCACCCCTCACTTTTCCCCTCGGAGCTGTGGTTGTGTTGGCACTAGAGATGACCTAGAAGCCCAATCTTGAACTTCTCTTGCTATTGTATATTAAATTATTCCATTGAGATTTAAAGAAATAAGAATCGTCAAATTTTTGGCTGCCTGGATTTCCTTTGTTTTGAGTGTCTTACTTGGAAATTTAATATGTAAATGATGACCAGTTCTTGTTCAACTGGCTGTATCTTTCCCTTCTATCCTGTGGTCTCAGAGGGAGTCCTGAGAACCCCAAACCTATGACTATCCAGAAGGCAAATTACTGCAATAGGGGTCACAAAGCTGGTTCTCATCAGAGTAATTGCTCCATCTATATTATCGCATTCTACTTAAGTTCTGAGTAATTTAAAAAGAATGTTTTTTACAAAGGTCAAAAGTAATGCATGACTTTGGGTGTTGTTTTAAATATTAAATATGTTGTCAAATGTTTGGTTGATTCCTATCTTAAATGTTCCATAAGAGCGTATATAAACAAACCCAGGTGAAGTCTTTATAAAACAAATAGTTCCTAATTTAGTTAAGGTAAGATACCGTAGTAATAGTTTTCATCTTGATTCATACTTGAATCAAAGTTCTCAGGGATACTATTCAATAGTCAATATGCTTATTCAACAAACTATTGCAGAAGGCAGACTCAGAGTGTTGGGAAGTTGACAGGCTTCCTTCCTACCTTTTCAGATTGTTGGCCTTGACTTCATCCTGGGCAATGACAAGCTCTGGCACATTCTGCTTGGTCTGTCTGCTGTGCGAGTTATCCTGCAGTCTGTGATGCTCTTCTTCTGTCCAGAAAGCCCCAAATACCTTTACATCAAGTTGGATGAGGAAAACAAAGCAAAACAAAGTAAGTCTGTGGGTGGTTTTACTTTCTAGCTATTGTTTTGGAACTATCACCTCATAAGAAAGTGTGCATGAATGGCTATTCATGAAATTGGTACCAGCACTTTCCAAATGCAGTCAGTGATTATGCATAAGGAGAACATGCAAGATCACTTAAATATGATGGGCACATGACATTTTGCACCCATAAATATTCACTCAGCCCAAATCGGAAGCCCAAATGCAGAATATTGGAGTCAACCATACTCTTCTAAAGGACCTTTCAGCCTTATGCTTCAAGGATATGAGGGTCATAGCTCTCTTTGTCATAAGATGAAGCCAAATGTTCTGCTTTTGTGAAATTAAAAAAGCAGGAATTAATTTAACTAAAAAGAATTCCCAAAGTGCATTGTCATCAAGTAATAGAAAGGGCTACACACAACTGTACCTTTTCATTTACATAATACATATAAATTTATTTTTGCTTTGACCTGAGTTGTTATAAATGTAATCATTTTGGGGGCAGGCTTGAAAAGACTCAAAGGCAGTGCTGATGTTACCAAATATATCACTGAGATGAGAAAAGAAAGGGAAGAAGCCTCGAGTGAACAGAAAGTCTCCATAATTCAGCTCTTCACCAATTCCAGCTACCGACAGCCTACTCTGGTGGGATTGATGTTGCACTTCGCTCAGCAGTTTTCTGGAATCAATGGGGTAAGTTTAAGAACATCCCCTAACTCTTAAGAGCAAAGCAAATTGGGATAGAGCAAAAAAAGGGTATAAGTTAAAATAGCTAAAAGACATTTTAAAATGTTAACATCACATCTTAGTAAAAGCAAATAATGAGTGTTTTCTGTTTTGCCTCATCTGCTTTCTAAAATTGCTTACAATTAAAAAAAAATATATCAACAGTCAGCCCTGGCTGGTGTGGCTCAGTGGATTGAGTGCTGGCCTGTGAACCAAAAGGTCACCAGTTTGATTCCCAGTCAGGGCACATGCCTGGGTTGTGGGCCAGGTCCCCAGTTCGGGGCATGCAAGAAGCAACTGATCAATGTATCTCTTTCACATCGATGTTTCTCTCCCTCTGTTCCCCTATGTAAAATAAATAAATGAAATCTTTTTTTAAAAGCATCAACAATCAATGTCACTGTATGTCTATTAAGATTCAGGTGAGAAGGCAAAAGTCATACTAAAACAAAAGAGGGGCAAGGAGAATAATTATACCAAAGGAAACTAAATTAGAAGGGGCTTTTAGAGTTGAATATAAAATTTGGGATTTGTAGTAGCTTTAGCTAAAAGAGTCCATGGCTCCCTCTGTTTAAATGAAGTATACCAGATATCCAGGTGCCAAAATGTTTCCTGCCACCCAAGAAGTTTTCGCTGTTTGTGGAGACAGCATATGCACACAAAATAAACGGCAGAGCGAAGTGATATGATATGGTGAGTGAGGGTGGTGGAAAGGACATGATTGAAAAACATACCAAGTATTAAGCTTGCTAGCTTTGGGGTTTTGACTTGAAATCTTTGCATTACGGAGACTATAATTATTTTTACTGGCAATTAGCTAGTAGAAGGAAAGGATTAAGCATTCATTAAGTAAGTAAGCAAAGGAAACCGTGTATCCCCTTTTGCTGCTGTTGAAAATATGATCTGGGCTTCCTCTACACTCTATAGAGAGCCAACCTGAGATCCACAGAAGACCCTTTGGGAGTGACTGATAGGTTGGTAGAGAGTTGGGGCAACCAAGGAAAGTAATTCCAATGAGGTGAAGCGAAAGGAAAGCTGAACCTCACTCCACAGGCTGAATACAGCTCTGCTGTGGTCTTTGTCCTTCTTTAAGGGTCCTTGATGTTCATTTTCACCTAATACTTCTTGTATCTCTGGGGCTTAGAGACCAAATTGCTTTCCCCTATCTCAGCTCTACCTGTACATTCAATGGCACAATACTTAACTCTCTGAATGTTCCTACTTCAGCTTCCATCCCACCATTTACGTAGAGGCAACCAGGAAATACTGGACTTGAGGCTGTTGGGCAGCCTGAAAATGGTAGGAGAGTGCACGGTGTGCTAAAGCCAGTTCTCACTGGGCACAGTTTGCACGGTCCTCCTGCATCAGCACCGTCTGCAGAAAAAGGACATTCATGTGGGGAAGGAATGCCAGAGGATGGTAGAACAACAAAATGACCTAAAAGACTATTATAAAAGTAAAAGCATAACTGAATAATAAAGACTGTTAGGGAGGTTGTGAATCATATTTCTCCGTCTCTACTGAGATTAGTAGAAAATTTCAGATTAAATGCAATACAACCGGAACTCTCATATACACCGGGGAGAGTGTCAACTGCCACAACATCTTTGGAAGATTGTCTGGCAGTATCTGTCAAAGCTGAGCATGTGCACATTGTGTTGTCCCGCAGGGCCATTCCTAGGTGTAAATGTATGCATAGTTCACTGAAAGGATTGCACTAGAATGTTCAGAGCAGCCCTGTTCATAGTCACCCTAAATGGCAACTACCTACATACCCATTGATGGTAGGATGGGTAGCTAAACTGTGGCCTATTAATACAATAAAATACTATACAGTAAAGATGATGAATAGCCTACAAATGCAACTATAGATTATTTTCACAAAGGTTATATTGCAGCCAGATACAAAATAATATACACTATGTGATTTCATCATATAATACATAAGACTAGGCAAAATTTATCTATGATGATAGAAGCTGAAAGCGTTTCCTTGAGAAAATAGGGTGACATTTAGGGCCTTCAGAAAAGCAAGCAAGGATTTATTTCCTAATCTGGGTATTGGTTATACAGGTATATTCACTTTGTGAAAATTAATCAAGCTGTACATTCCTGACATGTGTGCTTTTTTCTATGTATTTTATACTTTAACAAAAGGTTCAAAGTTTTTTTTTAAATAAAGAAAATGCATATGCAGAGTCTTTGCTAAATATAAAAAGAAGTTTAAGCAATCAGAAGCTTTAAACACTGAAGGAAAAGTGCAGTTTCTCCTTCCCCAGAAGGAGAAGGTGGAAAAAATCTGTATGAAGTTCTAGGGACCATGGTTACATAGAAGCAACCAAAATCAGATGACTTAAAATATTTCCTGCTTTAAAGCCATCAGTGCTAGGCTTCTGGATTAAGGCTAAACTGTTGTTATTTTGCAGATCTTCTACTACTCAACCAGCATTTTTCAGACAGCTGGAGTTGGCCAGCCAGTTTACGCAACCATTGGCATGGGTGCCATCAACACAGTTTTCACTGCTCTCTCTGTAAGTAAAACAACCCTAAACAGTCTGCTCATTCTTTTGTCCAGAAATAGAATTAAAAAGCAAAACAAAATCTTGTGATCTAAAGGTGATCAATGACTTATTGTCTATATTCTCTGAGGATTGAAACCAAGTGGGTCATGGGAAGTCTTCTATATGTCAAATACCAGTGACTACATTGCACAGGCATAACTGAGCAGGTCGTCTGGTTCTCTCTGGTTACACCTGGCTCTCTCTGTTGGAGTGGATGCCATTAGTTACTCCTTTGTGAATTAAAAACTCATTTGGGAACACACAGAATTCACTCCTTGGGATCCCTCTCCTTTGCTCTATACTAAAGCCATTCAGTTAACGGCATGTGATTTCCTTCAGTACTGGGTCTTGTACCTAGATTCCTCTCCATCTATGGTAGAAACTCATTTTTTATCCTGATGTCTTAGAAAACACTTTTAAAAAATAAATGCGGTCCTCTCTATTAGGTAGCTAAGCCTCTAGTAAAATGAAACAAACCCAGCAAATTCTTATGCTGTTTGGCCGTTGGGCACAGCTTACAAGTAGCTCCCAGGGCCACAGCTTTTGACGATGCACGCGAGTGTGTGGCGTTGTGAGAGGATGAAGTTGACGTGGTGTGCAAGTTCAAATGTTACTGTTAGACTTTAGAAAATGTCAAATGTTACTTTTTTTATCTCTTTCCAACAAAGGGAAGAGGCCATATACTCTTTTTAGGACCAAATACCTTATGTAAGGAATGATTGGTATCTTAACAATAATAATATTTAATATAACAATCTAAAAATTAAAGTAAACAAGCAACAACAACAATAATACAAAAACTTCCCAACTAATGTAATGGGGCTTTTTTATCTTAGAATGTGGGATGTTAAAAAAAACTTGTGCTTTTCAATTTCAATCACAATGCTATACTCAACATACTTGTTTTTCATTCTCTTCACATGGACTTTAAACTATTACCTTACAGTGGTCGATTAATTATAATCTGGCCACCCAAATCAAAAGGCAGCTTTGTCCAGACCGCAGAGCAGATAAGAAGGGAACAGCAGGGGGCCTGCAGATACACCTTTACAGATCTTGCCTTTTCAAGCCAAAAGGTCGCTCTGAATTGGTGGAGGTCTGGGGCTGGAAGGCAGTCCAGTGGACTCTGCATTCTTTTGTCGCCTGAGATAAAATGTTTTACACATAACTTTCTAATAGAGATTATGATTAAAACGTTTTATATGTAACAGGATTTGCTGTGTAAAACATCCAATTGTCAAGACTGGGTAACCCAAACTCTAAGAGCGCCAAAAAGGAAACTACTGCAGAATTTCATTTTTGTCTCCCGCTGCCAACCCTGTTGAAGTGGGAAGAGTCACTTTGACAACAGTGTCTTGATTATTTGGAATATACCTTTATAGAGCTCATCTTTTTATTCTGTGAAAGTTTTTGTGTGAGTGACATAACTTATAAAGTCATCTCTAATCAGCTAATTATAAATAATGCTCCAGGACTAAAATAACATTTAAAAACTTTAATTATATATATACATATTTTTGTAAAGTTGTTCTAAAGCACAGAGAAGGTAGCCCCTCAATCTCCCAGTTTCTCCCCCTCAAATGAACCTATGTTACTGAATCCCATGTATCAAAATAAAGATATACAAACAGGAACATGTACCAAAATATATTGTTTCAATAACTTAGAAAGAACATAATCAGTCTTTTCCTCTTTTTAAAATAAATATTTGGGAAAAGAGAGAGACTTTCCTGACTCTCGAATTATGTTTCATAGTCCATGTTTTCTTTCGCACTAACAGGCCCATAGAAGACAACCTGTAATCTTGAAAGAGAAAACAAAACAGGAAGAAATATGGAGGGAACCAGGAGGCAAGATGGGTCTAGGGGAGAAGCAGTGGCTACCAAACTCAAAGTAGGCTTCCAGGGTCTGAGGGACGCACACTGTCTGGGGCAAGGGTGAGAGTTAAGGTCAGCAGGCATCTCCAGGCCTTGACCTCATCTCACCCTGTGTCACATCCCTCCCTGCATGCTCACCTGGCCTCAAACAAGAGTCTGACTCAATTTTTAAGGCATGCAGTTCTAGAGTTTATTATCTATTAGTTATAGTTATATCTATTATTCAGAAACAGCAAAAACCAGACATAATGAAAGCCCTTGTTCCTGAAGAAATGCTTCTATTTTCTTTGTAACTTGACATGGTGTCATCAAGTCAGCTTTAAAAGCCACAATGAAAGAGTCAGATATATAGAGAAATTTTATGAGCATGAATATTTTCTCACTTACTTCTCAACAGTTAAATGTGGGCTCTTTGCTTATCATCCCAAACTGATTTGATACTGATTACAAAATGCCTCTGAGATGAAAGGGGTTTCACTGCAGGTGAAAAGATCTGTTTCTCAGATATTTGCAGAGCCAGAGCTCACTATACTAAGGGTATTTGTTTGATTGCTATTGATCTATGGATAGATCTATGAACCTAGTCAATTTACTCACCAAAGTGAGAAATTAAGACAGGTAGCCTTTTTTTGTGAGTGATTCACCAACCTGGGCAGTATCAAGCAAGACTCTATCCAACAAACTCTGGTTTTGGCTAAATGTAAATCTTAACTATTAATGCAAAGGTCCCAAAAGGAATCAATGACCTATCTCTTGACTTAAATTAAGAAAGCACTTTAAACTTTTGCTTTAAAGTCTTGCCTTTCCAAGTGGATAGTTCGTTCCTGGCACCAGGTACATTTAGGCACACCAGAAAAATGAAGGCCTGACTATTTTAGTAAACTGGTCAAATTCCACACACTGCCAGGTGAGTGTCATAATTGAACTTTATTCTCAGTGAGAAAGTTGGATAAGAATAGTTGACACCTCAACTGTTTCCGGTGTCCACAATGCACACACATTCAGGAGAGATGTTGGTATCATTTTTATATAGAAGTTTCACATTTTATTTTATTTTTTTTATATTTTATTTATTTATCTTTAGAGGGGAAGGGAAGGAGAGAGGGAGAGAAACATCAATGTATGGTTGCCTCTCATGTGTCCCCTGCTGGGAACTGGTCTGCAGGGAACTGGTCTGCAACCCAGGCATGTGCCCTGACTGGGAATCGAACCGCGATTCTCTGGTTCGCAGGCCTGTGCTCAATCCACTGAGCTACACCAGCCAGGGCGAAGTTTCACATTTTAAACATATAGGAAATCTGCTGAAAGAGATCTAAGTTGTATGGACTTCTTAATGTTGTACCCAAAGTGATAATCATAAAGCGGTGGGAGCACTATTGTTCTTCCTTTGGAATGCCACATGTGACTAAGTTCAAACCAATGTGACTAAGTGCAGCAGGTATTTGTGGATGTCAAGGTGACTGAGACCAGCTTTGCTCCCTTGGGCAGGAGCCACTCCCCTTCTCAGTTCCACATTGGTGAAATGGGATAACAGAACTGCCTCTTTCCAGTTGTGTAAATTAAAATGACCTCTCTGTCAGCTGAAACTAAGTATCAAGCCTGCACATTTTGAAACTTCTGCAGGTATTCCTCGTGGAGAAGGCGGGGCGACGCTCTCTGTTTCTCACTGGAATGAGCGGGATGTGTGTCTGCGCCATCTTCATGTCCGTGGGGCTTGTGCTGCTGGTGAGTTTGGTGCCTGCACTGAGGGTGGGGGTTTCCATGTGATAGCCATTCCGTGCTCTGGGTTAAAGTGCTTGTAATGTCAAAGAACTTTTGAGAATGACTGATGAAATAAGGCCCGAGGAAGAGCATTTAACACAAAGGAGAAATGTAAAGAAAAAGATAGCTAGTTTGGGGAGCATAAAGGCTGAACACCAGCAAGCAAATTGTACATGTTATCCAGGGAGGCAGACGTGGCCAGAGCGCAGGCTCTGGGGGCAGCCCCCAAACAGGTTCTAGTGCTGGCTCTGCTACCTGGCTGCCTGTGTGACCTTGGGCAAGTGTCTGGGCGTGTCCAGCCTGGGACGCTTAACCACTACTTCACATGCACCCAATCTAGCAGCCTAGCCAAGGTCACTGGATCCTGACCCTGCCTCTTTCACAGGAAAAGAGTGACCAAGAATCATGTAAAAATCACAATACAGAGGATTTCCCTATTACAGATCTCTAAAGATTTCAGGATGACTCAGACTAGAGTAAACTTGTCTCCAACTACGATAACTTATGCTTATTTGTACATAATCACCAGGAAGAAAGCCATGTTCACTGCTAACCTCAGGAAGGGTCTACTAAGCTAAAGGAAGGAGCAGCCAATAATCCCAGTTCTACTTGTGTTCTTGTTTTGTATTATTCTTTTTCCTCAGGATAAATTTACTTGGATGAGTTACGTGGCCATGGTAGCCATCTTCCTCTTTGTCAGTTTCTTTGAAATCGGGCCAGGCCCCATCCCCTGGTTCATGGTGGCTGAATTCTTCAGTCAAGGACCACGCTCTGCGGCTCTAGCCATAACTGCATTCAGCAACTGGACCTGCAATTTCATTATAGCTCTGAGTTTCCCATACATTGCGGTAAGCAGCCTGATGTTGTGCACACGTACTGAACAGAAGACAGGGCCGAACAGCCACTAACTGGGACTCTGTGTTTGTTCTCTCTGCAGGACTTCTGTGGGTCTTATGTGTTTTTCATCTTCGCTGGATTGCTCTTGGCCTTCACTCTGTTTATATTTTTCAAAGTTCCAGAGACCAAAGGAAAGTCCTTTGAGGAAATCTCAGCTGAATTCCAAAAGAAGAGTGGTTCAGCCAAAACACCGAAAGCAGCCACAGAAATGAAATTCCTTGGAGCTGTGGAGACTGAGTAAAGATAACCTGCTTGTTGGCATGAGCAGAAAAAGGAAGAAAGCTACATGATTTTAAATGACAGTTCTTTGAGAATTTTATATCTATATTTTAAAGTATTGTTTTATTTTTTTAAAGGAGCTTTTAAGGGCTCTGATCAGAAATGTCATCAAATATTACCAAAGAAAGTACTTTTTTAAAAAAGTTACAGAATCTATTTTTGATAGTAAAAATCTGTAATTAAGTAAACCTTAAAGTCTAGCTCAGTTCATCACACTAAAAGGGCAAGGACATTCTAAAATGTTACCAGTTCTATTCCTTAAAACAAGGTTCTGCTGAAATGGAAGCTGTTTCTCTGGATTCTAGTACATAGAAACCTGAAGCTACAACTATTAATATTTACATATTTGAATCTAGGTTGGAATTTTCTTACCCACAGACCTCATACTAAAGGAGATACAGCTAGTGGCAGTGAAGGTTCACTGTAAAACTGATAACATTTTCACTTCCCTCATTCAGTGTCTTCTTGTGCATTAGAATTTGCATTTTGATTAAATTTTTTCCCTAAATTTTCATGTGGGAGGCTTTAGTGAGTATATTAAAATGTGTTTGTAAAGAAAGCCTTTTATTTTTGGCAGGCTTACCAAAATCTTTTTGTATTTGGAAAAAACAAGGAAACAACATTTTAGCTGGTGACCAAAGAGGTTTTTTTATATTAAACAATTAAAAAGTTTAATAGTTAAAATAAACATCTATTATAAGCCCCTCTTAAGCCCTGGCTGGTATGGCTCAGTGGATTGAGTGCTGGACTGTGAACCAAAGGGCTACTGGTTCGATTCCCAGTCAGGGCACACGCCTGGGTTGCAGGCCAGGACCCCAGAAGGGGGTGCGCGAGAGGCAACCATACATTGATTTTTTTTCTCCCCCTCTCTCCTTCCCTTCCCCTGTCTCTAAAGATAAAAAATTAAATCTTAAACAAAAATAAACTCCTGTTAAGCCAATTTCTTGTCAGTTCCATCCTATGAGATATGTTTTATTTTGCTTTTTAATTAAGCACAGCCTGGTTTTCTGAGCTGTGTTGTCAATGTCAAGCAAGACATTTTGTATATCTCTTCAAACCCCAATAAGTTAAAGCAGTCTAGCTTAAGAAATCTCAAGTAAAAAAGCTGCTGTTTGTTAAAAAAGCAATACATTTTTTGTATCATTATGGTTCTAAATAGCTTTAAAAGGTAGGATTGGAGAATTCCCGAGGGTGGGCTCCTGAAACTTTATGAATCTTCAACTTCAGACTTGATCAAAATCCCTGTTTAATTTTCCTAGGAAGACTGAGTTCCCTAACGCAAAACAATCATCCCCTTTGATGTTTCCATCTTCGCCTCAGCTGTACAGGGATGCTATCCAGCAGTCCTGTTGCAATTGCTGACATTTATTGTGTACTCCCTATGTGCGAGGCACCATTCTAAATGCTTTACATACGTAGGCAAGTTGAAAACACACAGATGATTAAATAGACTTTTGCTTACAGTCAATTATGCAACTATGGAAATATAGTTCTGATGGATACCAAAGGCTTAGGTCCTGCTAAAGCATCTTCAGGTTGTTTTTCTCACCAAATGGAGCACATTTGAATCAATCCTTTTTATGTTTGCTGTAACATGCATAGAAACACTCAACACTTGCTTGTGTGTTGTTGCTGCTTACTTTTATGTAATTTGGTAGTCCAAATAGTGAAATTAGTTCTTTTCACTTGGACTGATTTTTATTTCCTTTGGACGAATTTTGGATAAACTATGTTCACTTAGGACTTCAAGACAGAGTGAAATTTAATAGTTCAGAAGAACTTTGTGCTAAACTGTGAACTCTTGGTGGGTTAGATGAGGGGCATGTAAGGGGCTCTGAATAGTGAAGCAGGCAAATGGTTCTTGTGTACCTCTTGTCATCTGGATGCTGATGGCCTTTGACAAGCCCAGCGGTGCAACAATAAAGAAATTTAACGTTTTTATAATAAATGTGATTTAATCAAATCACTACTCCTCATCTCATTAGCTAAGATAATAAAAAAGTAAAGGTTTAATAAAGAGCCCGAAAGACCCCTTTAAGTTCTAATTCCTTTGATAGACCCACAAATACCACAAATTTAGACCCTGAAATTTGGTTTTCCTCCATAATTTCTTTTGCAGAGACACAAATGAGGTGCACAAATGTGAAATTAGAAGCTGTAAACCCTTTATATTAGGACAAAAGAACTAGCTAAACAGTAACAACTCCTAGGTCTTCAATGGTATACAGCACAATAAATAATACAACTGGCACTAATTAATAAGATTTAATCTCAGGGAAATTAGATGTGAGTTTGAACACATTTTTCATAGTACTCTATCATTTTTGTGGAAGTGTTTTCATACTCTAATGATCTTACGAATATGATGCTTCTCTTTGCTTGTTCGAAGCATGACTGTACTTTTTGCTCTGTTTATCCATCTGCCGCATCTGGCTGGTGCCCACTGCCATGGCGTAAATGCCAGGGTCTTCTCTGCTGAGACACAGGAAGAGAACGCCTCCCCCTCAAGGAGCTCACAGTCTAATAAATTGGAGTTCAGGAAGACCAGGATACAAATGTTTCTGTCTGTGTCTTTTGCTTTCCATGAACTTCAAGCTAGAGGCTTCTCTTATAAAGTGGGTCCAATAACATTACCTACCTCTGGGAATTGTTGTGAGGACTGAATGTAAAGTGCTAAGCAGAGTGTCTGGTATCCAATGTGTGACCTAGAATTAGTATTGACAAAGATACTGGTAGGATGCAGGACTATCATGTCTATAAGGTAGTCCCAAATTCATAATTCAAGATAATCCTCTCCCACACTTCAAGCAACCATCTCACAAAGACAAGGAAAACTAAAAACCAGGGGAGATTTTTACCATCTAATTCCTAAACTTATACTTGATATTCCTAAGTAGATTATAAGAGTTTTTATTGTATTTTTAAAACTTGCTTTTACCTAAGTTGTTATTTTTAAGAGGTCTATATGTAATATTATTTATTCAAATAATACTAAGTAAAAAATAAAATGCTGTATATTGCATTTAAATCTAATTTTAAAAGACTACCACCATTGGACAACCAAACCATGAAAACCCTCAAAAATCACAAAGTGTGTAAACCAATGTATGTGCATAAACTACTTCTTATTGCCAGCTCATTGTTAGATATGCAGCAAATAAAGCAATGTTAGGCAATAGATTGTGCTTATGTGTCCTAAGCAAAGTGCTGAGTAAAGTGAATTTTTCATAACAATTCTATACCAATGACCTGAGAAGAAAAGGTTTATTGCAAACCACTTTGAGCCATCTGCTGATGTCTTCACTCTCTTCTAATTTGGTGCATATTAGAAAGAATCATGATGAAAAGAAACTGGTTTTAGTTAAAAGTATATATATGTGCTATAATTTTATGTTAATAAATATATTTCCAAATATTTAGTGTGTTTTATTTTATGTAGAAAATATATTTCAGAAACTTGATATCAATTTACTGTATATACTCATTTCCTTTTCACAATATTTTTTCTATTCTCATTTTAAAGTTAATATGTGAGTTACTTTTTAAATCAAAATTTTATTTTCCTCAGGCAGTTGTTTTGATTATTAAGAGTAGGAAAAAACTAGCCTGAAGGGCAGATAGGCACAGTTGAAGAAGAATAAATGACTTCCTTTGATGAATAGGAAGTCATTAAAATAATTTAATTAAAAATTAAAATAAGGGGGTCATTAAAAATAATTTAACTTGGTAAACATTTAATCAAGCTCCTATTATGAACAAGACACTTAAAGTTTTGTGAAAGAGAGACTTCTGGTCAAGATGGAGGTATAGGTAGACACACTTCATCTCCTTATACAACTACAGAAAGAATTACAACCAAATCTCAAAACAAATAACACCCAGAACTCTCAGAAAATAGAGCTGTTTGGAAGTACAACAACCAAGGATTTAAAGAAGCCACATTCATACAGACAGGTAGGAGGGGCAAAGACTCAGAGACTGGGCAGAGAGACAAGGAGACGTGGTGTGGTGCAGAGAGGTGGCAGCAGCGGAAGTGGAACAGACACAGGCAGTCCCACGTTCACATGTGATGGGTAAAAACTGGGAGGGATACCTTGGGAGCAAGTGATCCCAGTGCCAGGATAGACCACACAGTCCAGGTTTCCAGTACTGGGAAGATAAATCCCCATAATTTCTGGCTGTAAAAAAAAAGTGGGGGTTGGGACAGTGGAAGAAACTGATTTTCAGGAAACTTCCATTAAAGGGCCCAAATACGCTTAAAACATACTCAAACCCACCCACTCTGAGATTCAACACCAGGGCAATAGCTAGAAGGGTGCTAGTCACCTATTTTAAGTAGGTGTAGTGACTAGAAGAAACAGGGTGAGTGCTGGGAAAACCCCCAGAAGTCAGGCAGCAGCACAGTTCCCTCTCCCAACCCTCCCCCCACACAGAGCCACAAAGTGAGTGAGTGGGTTGCCCCAGCTTGGCAATTACCTAAGGCTCTGCCCCACACAATTTATAGGTGCCTTTTACAGGGAGTCAAAGCAGCTCTACCTAATACACAGGAACAAACACAGAGAGGCTGCCAAATTGAAGAGACAAAGAAATATGGCCCAAATGAGACAACAAAACAAAACCCCAGAAAAAGAATTAAATGAAACAGAAATAGCCAAGCTAACAGATGCAGAGTTCAGTACACTGATGATCAGTATGCTCAAAGAAATCTTTTAGTATGGCAACACCGTAAAGGAAGAAATGAAGTTTACACTAAGTAAAATAAAGAAAAATATACAGGGAGCCAACAGTGAGGGGAAGGAGGCTGGGATTCAAATCAGTGATTTAGAACATAAGGAAGAAATAAACATTAAACCAGGAAAGAAAAAAGAAACAAGAATTTTAAAAAAAAACAACAAGGATAGTATAAGACTCTGGGACATATCCAAATGTGTCAACATTTGAATCATAGGGATTCCAGAAGGACAAGAAGAAGAGCAAGATATTGAAAACTTATTTGAAAAAATAATAAAACTTCTCTAATTTGCAAAGGAAATAGACACACAGTACATAAGTCCCATAAGTAGAGGGAGCCCCAAACAAGTTTGATTCAAGGAGGATCACAACAAGACATTTCATATTAAAATGCCAAAGGTCAAAGATAAATAGAGAATCTTAAAAGCAGCAAGAGAAAAGCAGAGAGTTTACCCACAAAGGAGTTCCCATAAGACTGTCAGCTGATTTCTTAAAAGAAACATTGCAGGCAAAAAGGGACTAGCAAGAAGTATTCAAAATGATGAAAAGCAAGGACCTACAACCTAGATTACTCTATTTAATAAAGCTACCGTTTAGAATGGAAGGACAGGTAAAGTGCTTCCCAGAAAAGGTAAAACTAAAGGAGTTCATCATCACCAATGCCTTATTACACAAAATGTTAAAGGGACTTATTAAGAAAAAGATCAAAACTATGAACATTAAAGAGACAACAAATTCACCACTATCAAAAACTGAACCTAAAAACCAAACTAAGTAAACAATCAGAACAGAAATAGAATCATAGATTTGGAGATCACAGGGAGGGTTATCAGCTGGGAGGGAGAAGGGGGAGAATGGGGGAAAAGTACAAAGATTAAAAAGCATAATTGGTAGGGACAAAAATAAATGGGGTATTGTCAAGAATAGTGTAGGAAATGGAGAAGCCAAAGAACTTACATGCATGACCCATGGACATAAACTAAGGAGGGGATTGCTGGAGAGAAGGGAGGTACCAGGCATAGGAGACAAAGGTTCCAGAAAAATTGGGACACCTGTAATAACATATTCAATAAAATATACTTTAAAAAGGCATGGGAAAAAAGCTTTGTGAAAGAGAATGAAAAAGGTGAAAGAAGAAATAAGTATCTCATAGACAACAGTATGGTGATTATGAGAGGGAAAGAGAGGCTGAAGGGGGCAAAAGGGGATAAATGGGGATGGAAGGAAGCATGACTTGAGGTGGTGAACACACAATACACTATACGGGTGATGTGTTATAGAACTGTACCCCTGAAACCTATATAATTTTATTAACCAATATCAACCCAATACATATAATTTTTTAAAAAGTTTTTTGAAAAACACAAGTCTTAGAAGAATATATGATCCTTATCCTCAATCACCTGCATTCTCATAAAGGAAATGAAATTTGAAGAGAAATAGTTGCAATTCCAAAGAGAGAACAGAAAAAACTGTAAGTTAATAGTTATCAAATTTTTAAGTTGGCATTCAAAAATGTCGTCATATTTTTAAATAGCTTCAAAAAGATGTACTTTTCCAAAATATAGTATGTATTGATATTTTAAAATTACTGTTCTCTATTTATCCAATGGAATTTAAATGTCATAGTAACTTATTGCTCATTGCAACCTTCTAAAATTTATATATATTATAAATTTTATAATACATAGAATATAAATATATATTACATATTAAATTTTATATATTTATATATTAACCATTAGAAATTTCATTGCACTCTTTTCTATTCTCATATTTCTGTTCTGTTTCCTTAAAAGAATTTTATCTCAAAGTAACAAATACATGTCTTAAAATATTTTTGGTGGCTCTATTATAAGTTCCTGCAACAAAAATATCTATAATTTGAATTCGAATTTTTAAAAATGTCCTGTGTCTACAAAGGTCAAAATGTCTGACCATTTTTTTCTGGGTTGAGTTAGCATTTATTATTATTAGTAGCACACAACTGATGAAAGAAAAAAATCAGTATTACAAATTTTGATAAAATGACTCATTTTAAAAGCAGTTATTTTAGCAATTTATCTTAATAAGATTTAAATATTAATGAATAGATATTTCTTATTATTAAAGTGAAATAGTGTTCAGCATATATTCTATTATTATTTTTTGCTATTATAAAATTATTTAAAATCTTGTTTTCATAGGTAAGAAAATAGAACTGAAAGGAGCAATGTTATTCAACTCCATGAATTATTTCTAAGTTATAGCCAAAAAGCATACAAAAACTTATCATCAAGCTAATTTTTAATAATATGTCATCTAATAACTTAATTGGGCCCTTTAATTTTTTGAAGTTTTTTAAAAGCACGTATCATGAAAGGATTTGTTATTTTCTCACTTAGTTTCCGGGTAGCATACCAAAAGGCTTATCAGGACTTAATAAAAGACTGTTAGTTATATTGTTCAATCTTTCACTTAGAGGCAACTTGATTAACCGAATGTACTCAGAAAGGATTGAGAAAATTAAACTACTATTCATTTTATGCATTTTATGTATATAATAACATTTTCTATTTCCTCACATGCTGTACTACATCAAACCATCAGAGCCCAGATTTAACCCGTTAGCTTGTTCAATTCATAGTGATAACCTAAAGGCAAATTCAGTCCTCATTGTCAAACTCATTTAGCAGATCAAGTTACTTTCTCTCTGAGTAAACTTTTTGCTTCCAGTAAGTACCCTAATATTCATTCCTATGACAGCCCTCTCACGTCTGAACTGCAGCGCTGTCACAGGTAAACACAGAGACGAGGCCTGTCCGCCTGCAGTAAGTCTGTCATCTGCATTCCAGGCAGTTCCTTTATTTTCTTCACTTTTACTGGTTTTGCTCTCAGGAGGAATGCACTTTCAAAATAATCGGGCATGGTCTGCTAGACAAAAGTGGTCATTATCCTGTCCTACACTGTCTGAATTCAAAATATCAGGCCAAAATGTGCTTTTTCTCACAAGCCGCCTATGAGCTCCATGGGTAAAAGCATTTTCCAATACCTGTTTGTTTGGTACCTCTAAGATGTAACACGCTAAGTCAAGGCACCGTGCTGAGAGTCAGGATCCAGTGTGGACTATACTG